ACACACCCCACCACACACACACTGCCCCGCTGCCAGGATCCCCCTCCACCCCCCTCATCCGCTGCTAGAACCCTCCCCCCCCCACTTCCCGCAGGCACCCACCTCCACCCCTGCCAGGTTCCTTCCCTGATTACCCCAGGATGGAGTCTGGGATGCTGGGGGTGGGGGGGGGTCTCCTCTACACCCGCCCCCCCACCACATTCCCTACCTTACAGCTTGGGCTAGGTCATGTCCCCGGGGTGCCCTCGGTCCAGGGCTGGGCGCCGAGCAGGGGGAGGGCGCCATCCTAGGGGAGACCGAGTCGGGGGGCAGGGGGCTGATGAAGCTGGGAGCCAGGGGGAGCGATTCCTGTCAGGCACAGGGAAGGGGGACCTAGCCCAGCCCCCCCCCCCAAAGGTTGGGGTAACACCCCTGAGAGCGACTGAGCATTGGCCAGCTAAACCCAAGGTGGGGAGTTCAATCCTTGAGGGGGCCATTTAGGGATCTGGGGCAAAAATCTGTCTGGGGATTGGTCCTGCTTGGAGTAGGGGGTTGGACTAGATCCCTCCTGAGGTCCCTTCCAACCCTGATATTCTATGAGGGGGCTAATTCCCCAGCCAGAGGAACAGGCCAGGGGGTGGGGCCAGGAGAGAGCCAGCTTGGGGGAGGGGGCAGGAGACACCCCCATGCAGCCAATGGAGTGGGGGGGGGGGGTGCCAGGGACCCCCAGCCCTCAGGAGCCCTGCAATGGGCCAGATCCTCAGGGTGCCCCCTGCTCTGGGGGGTCAGCCCCCCGCCTCCCAGCCATAGCCCCCGAGCTCCAGCCCTCCTGCCTCACGCTGGGAGCTCTGCCCAGCGCCCCACACAGCCGTGCTGGCCCCCGTCTCTGCAGCTCAAGCCGGCTCAGGGGAGAGCAGCCCCGCAGATCAGTTGCTCAGTCGCGGGGGCCCCCTGGCTTTGCAGACCCCCCCGCCGCCTTGATCTGTCTGTCGCAGCCAGGCCTCCAGCTCCCAATTCAGCCTGCCCCAGCCAGCAGGAAGGAGCAGACACTGGCACGGGGAGGGCGAAGGTGGAATAGGGCAGGCCCAGCGGGAAGTTGAAGAACTGGCAAGAGACACCAAAACTAACAGCAATTGTTGCTATGTCCCTCCAGCCGCAGGGCCGTGGAAGAGCGAGGGGGTAAGGAGCACGCAAGGAATACACAGGAGACGGTGAATGAATTCTTGCCAGCGGTTTCACTGCAGGGGATCTGATTCCCACCCTTGAGCCAATCGATTGAGGTGAACAAATCCGAGGCACCGTCCCAGCATGAGGTACCTGTAGAGGTGGTTTGGGAACAAACTGATAAACTGAACAGTAATAAGGCACCAGGCCCAGAGGGGATCACCCAAGAGTTCTGAAGGAACTCAAAAGTGAAACGGCAGAACTGCGACCTGGGGTATGTCACCTATCAGGGAGCTCTGCACCTGCCCCAGCTGACTGGTAGATAATTAATGGGACACCCATTTTTTAAAAAGGCTCCAGAGGCGATCCCGGCAATTCCAGGACGGTGAACCTGACTTCAGTCCTGGGCAAACTGGTTGAAACTCTAGTAAAGAACAGAATGGTCAGACGTGGATGAACACGATTTGTTGGGGAAGAGTCAACTCCGCTTTTGTGAAGGGAAATCACGCCTCACCAATCTACTAGAATTCTGTGAGCGTGTGGGCAAGGGGGAGCCAGTGGCTATCGGGTACATGGGCTTTCAGAAAGCTTTTGACAAGGGCCCTCCCCAAAGGCTCTTAAGCAAAGGAAGCTGCCAGGGGATAAGAGGACAGGTCCCGCTCATGGGTCGGTAACTGGTTAAAAGACAGGAAGCAAAGAGTAGGGACAAATGGTCATTCTTCACAGTGGAGACACGTAAATAGCAGGGTCCCCCAGGGCTCTGTACTGGGCCCAGGGCTGTTCAACATATTCACAAGTGAGCTGGAAAAAGGGGTAAACAGTGAGGTGGCAAAATTTGCCAAAGATACAAAATTACTCAAGATAGTTAAGGCCAAAGTCGACTGCGAAGAGCTACAAAGGGATCTCTATGATCTCGCCAAATTGGGTGACTGGCAACAAAGGCAAATGATTATGCTAAGTGCAAAGTAATGCACATTGGAAACCATAATCCCAGCTACACACACACAAAGACGGGGTCCAAATGAGCTGTTACCACTCAAGAAAGATCTTGGTGTCACTGTGGACAGTTCTCTGAACACATCCACTGCCGCAGCCGTCAAAAAAGCGAACAGAATAGTGGGAGCCATTAGAAAAAGGAGAGATAATAAGACAGAAAATATAATGCCTCTATATAAATGCCAGGTACACGCAGGCCTTGAACATGGCATGCAATCTGCTCACCCCCATCTCAAAAAAAGATCAATTAGGACGTATTTCTTCCTGTAGCACAGTTAACCTGTGGAACTCACTGCCAGGGGATGTTGTGAAGGCCAAAACTGTAACGGAGTTCAGAAAGAAAGGATAAGCTCCGGGAGGATCGGTCCACCACTGGCTATTAGCCAGGATGATCAGGGACCCAACAGGGATGTAAAAGTTTAACTGGTTAACCGATAAGCATCACTATGATCAGTTTTGCTTAACGATTAAACTCCGCTGGCGGCCCTGTGCCCTCAGGGCAGCAGTGGTGGTACCCCACATAAAATGTGGGGGTACTACAGCAACCCCACCCCCCTAGTTCCCTATGTTAACTCCTTAACCGTTAAACTGACCATTTTAATAGATTACACGGTTACAATTTTTAAACCCTCTTTACATGCCTAGGACCCACCCCCATGTGTCCCTAGCCTCTGCCTGCCCGGCGCTGGGCGTGGATCACTCCACTCCCTCTGGAGCACCTGGCCCCGGCTGCTGTCGGGACCCTGGCAAAGCTGGACCCATGGGGTGTTCTGTCTCTGCTCCAAGAGCAACTTGGGAACCCTTCTGCAATGCAAAGTACAGAGGGAAACTGAGGCATGCCTAGAAAATCAAATTACAGCAATTCCCTCTGGCCAGAGGGGACCCCCCTTGGGAGCCGTGGCTCCCCAGACACCCCAGCTTTCAGCCACACGGGGCTTCAGCCTGGAGAGGTGAAGGGAAGAGCAGGGGAAGGTGACACGCCCCCATCCTGCAGAAGAACCAGGGCACTGCAGCCCAACAGCTGGGCTGAAGGCAGCACGTCCCCTGGCACCGGCCCGGCGCTGTTCTCCAAAGGCCTGCACGGGACATGGGAAAGGGCAGCTCAGCACAGCCTCCTTCCAGGTGACCCAGCGCCACCTCACTTCCCCCGTACTACAGCGGGACGCCCGGGGCCCGGCCCAGCGGGCAGGGAGAGCGGGAGCCAGGAGGCCCGGGGCCCGGCCCGGCGGGCGGGGAGAGCGGGAGCCAGGAGGCCCGGGGCCCG